CAAATATCTCCTGCTCCCTTCGGGGCACACATTCACCATCGTCAAAACAAGGGCTGCAAATATACGTCGCTAGACCTTTGCTCATGCACTACTCACCGCCGACCACGGCGCACTGTGCATCGGTGAAAATTTCAAAGACTATACAGAATCCTAATTCCCGCTTTATTTCAATTTTGAATAACCAGCCAGCCCTTCTGGGTGTACTGTGCCACACAGTACATCTGCCGCCTCCGATCTCGTTCTTTGTTTTTTGAAAGGATGCACGATCTACTTTTCCCCGAAGCAAACATAAAGATGAAGAAGAAGAAGAAGAAAAAAAAAAACACAGTTCGCCTGGAGGTAAGTCGGATTCCTACTGGTTTCCATGGTAAGCCGATGTTACTTCGGTCCTGGGCCCGTAGTGAAGCATGGAAGGCCACGTTGAAAAAAAAAAAAAAAAAAAGGGAAAAAAAACAACAACAACAACAACAACAACAACAACAACAACAACAGTTATGGGCCTTGGAAGGTATAGCTTCGTCAACTTAGGCTCGTGAGAACTGGCCGTTTAAACCACAGCAGTACTTCCTAGAGTCGTGCCCGTTAACGCGCCACGGTTTTAGGAAACGTACTTGCCACTACAGGAGCGCCTAAATTCATCCGACTGGAAACGTTTCTACTCTATTTTTTTCGGCGGCCGATAGCTGGGCCAAGTACTGGTCATTTAGCGTAGAGAAAATGAACAGCTTTGAGAGCATGCATGAAAATACAATGTAAATTATGTAATAGGATTATTAGAATATTCAGTTTTCATTATTATAAGGAGAATACTAGTTAGTAGATAGAGAATAAGGAATAAATAATAATCAATTAATAATAAAACAACTTCCATGGCTGGAGAAGAAAACAAAAAACTTGCAAATTAGGGTGAATAGTACTGAATACTGAAGATAGTACAGACCTGTAACAGAACAGCGTGATGACTCGGCTGTTCTTCAACCTTTGTCATTGATGTTGGGGTCGTACTTCTTGACGGTCGAGAGACCTTTCCATTGGCCTGCATTGTATTCTTGACGGGGGAAGAGTCCTCCTCTCCGTAGTTCCCACTGAAAGAGGCTTCTTCACCCAGTCTCAGCTGCGCCACTCTGTTCATCTCAGCCTGATAGAACCAAAAGCCCAAACAGCAGACTACAACATCAAACCATGTGCAAGCCCTCCTTCATTACCATACTTTTTTTCTTTTTTTTTTTGTGGCCCGATGGACCAGTGATCAGAACAGATACTACGCTTGATCTTAGCCAAAAGGCCGAGAAAGGTATTCCTTCCTTACCATACTAAGTTGGCGTTGGGTTAATTTCTTGCCAACCTCTCACCCTTGTTAATCAGGGGTTAACGAGGGATTAACGTCCAGGGGTTAACGAGGGATTAACTAGGGGTTAACGAGGGATTAACCTCCAGGGGTTAACGAGGGATTAACCTCCAGGGGTTAAAGAGGGATCAACAACCTCCAGGGGTTAACGAGGGATTAACAACCTCCAGGGGTTAACTTGGGATTAACCTCCAGGGGTTAACGAGGGATTAACGAGGGGTTAACGAGGGGTAAACCAGGGGTTAACGAGGGGTAAACATGGAGTTGAGGCCCAGTTCAGAAAGGGCGAACAAGAAGGTCAAAGTTCATCAAACGTAAAGGATAAGCGAGGTCGAACGAGGATTAAGCTTGTAACTTATTTGAAAGAAGCATGGACAAAAAGAGTCGCTAGGTGAGAGGCCGTGGCCCACATCATACATAGTACAGAAGCAAATCGCAAAACGCCGTGCGACATATACAAGCTTAGGGAGAGACAAAATGCATCTGCTGAGGAAGCACCAACCAAGGCGCATGCTTCAGAGCATACTCACACTAGCACAATCTGGATGTATCTGGTCACGACTGCGACCGGACATCGGCACAAAAGTCCTAGTGCGATGCCCTCGGTTACCACCAGCTTTCGCACCAGGTCCTCCTCTACTCAACATCAGGATATGTCTATCCACAGATATATCATCTGTGAAACACACTAGCCACGTCCGAATTGCTGCACTTTGTGCCTGGAGGCTCGCAAGAGTCAGTCAAGTACAAAATACAGGTAGGTGCTGCGGTATCAGGAAGGGTCGCAGAGAAAGCAGCACTTGGTTGAAACTTGAAACGAAGTTTGACCATGAGTGATATCTTATACGAAGCAAGCCAATAGTCTACTACACATTAGGAGAGCATCAGAACTAATGCAGTACTCCACTAGCTCTCTACTACATTACGTTTTCTATTCTATATCTCTTTGAAGTTCCTTGAATTTTAACTGTTATTAAGTATTATTAACAGATCTGGCCATTTTTCAGATCTCATTTATAATTTATTGAATTGGTTGAGAGCATTTGAAGGGCGTACTTGGTGCATTTAAAATTTAAATATCTGATCAACGGAAGAGCATTTCAGGGTTACTTTTGAAGTTTTGAGGGCATTTCAGGGATGAATTTTGAGAATGGCAGAGAAATGAACCTTGATGGATGTTGCCAGCAATGCCCCCATATGATTTTGGAAGTTCACCGCAAACCCGTCGTTAACGGACCTGAGACAGAGAAGGCATCACAGAGTGGACAGACAAGAGGCATGTTCAGCCACACTGCCACACCATATCACCATCTCCAGCGAGTATTATGGACATCAACATAAGCACATTAAAACAATACAAGCCAACTCATTCCCCCCTTCTCCAATCCACCACTCCTCTCTTACCCACCACCCCTGTCTAGTCTTCGCCTCCTACGGATTGATGTCTCCCACTCACAAGACCACGACCAAAAAAAAAAAAAAAAAAAAAAAAAAAAAAAAAAAAAAAAAAAAAAAAAAAAA